TTATTAATGATGCTCTCTACCTGCAGAACTTGAAGAATTCGCTGTATCATTTGGAGAAAAAGTGAGGAAATTTTGTCACAGTACCCCGAATCAGAATATTGAATTAACCTTTTTCCTTTTCTCTTGCTTTTACTAGAACAACTTATGTGATATTTACGATTATGCCAACTCGTACAAAGTCGACTTACAGCAGGCAGACCTTTGTTAGATACGGTTATCAACAATACTGTCCGTGCGTTTACTGTTCCACAAATATTTTGACAAAGAGCATTCAGAGTCTGATCTCCTGAAGTGTGCATGGGAGTTTTTAGACAGCTGCTTTGACACATCTGAGTTTATTACTGCTATCAGGTATATATAAAAACATCTGGACTAAAAATAAATAGGAAGACGTATTCAAAACAATCAATAGTGGGGGAAACGCCAGCAAAGCGACATCAGAAGCTCAGAACCAAGAGCGCTCAATTGGTTCCGTGGAAGCCACTTCACATAAAAAAGTTGGCACAAAAGTTGACCTTTTGTACAAAGCACCGCTGATGGAGTTGGGCGCCATCGAAGCTGGTGCGTTTAATGATCGAAGCAGCACTAAATCAATTATGGAGTTGGGCATGAAATGCCTGAAAACATTGAAGGATATGCTGGTCGATCTTGAGCGCGCCAACTTCACTCAGCTACGTAACATGAGGACTTGTGGCTACATCCTTTCTGGTAGGTACAAACTAGTGGTGTAGCGAAACTCAAATAAGGTGGTTAAGGTCTGTTGCCTAGTTTGTTGGATAATATGCTTACATACATCTCTTCGAAACAAAATTGATAGGCCTTTATATGCAGTTTCTAATTGCTGATTGTCCAGAAGGATATGTATGCAGACTGACCAAGCTTGAGGACTGGGCACCATACCCCACTTGCAGAGAGAATTTTGTTTGCGACTTTTTTTATTTGCTGGAATTAGCGTGGGCCCGCAAAAGTATAAAGGAAGAAACTAGAGTTGCTGCAGTAACAAAGACAAACTGAAAGCACGCATCGTTTCATCCATCAACCATCCAACCAATTCTAAGCCATTCCTTCTACCATACCAAAAAGACGAACGCGAAAAAAAGAAAAGTCGATAGCGAACTCACCCTTGACGATCAACCCGCAACAGTTACAGATTAAGCCATACATAGGTTTTCTGTACATATTGAAATATTATATAATAACTGTATAGCGTATATCTGTGTCAAATCCTAACCCCAATTAGCATCAAAGTACCTCAAAATGATATTCCATAAAATTTTAGTAATAATGTTTAGCTCATGCAATATGCACTCATTTGGCTATACTCATATCTACAGTTGATTCTGCAAATTATGGATGATGCACAGCAGCCAGCCTTTTTTACATATCGTTTATGAGCACTTGCTGCAAAGTGAATAAGGTGTGTGTGATGAAAATGATATTCTCCTTCAAAGAACGATAATTATACGTCGGAAAGTCCTAGACCTAGTATAGGTATTGTGATGAAGCACTTCACATACAGAACTAGCTAAATACTATCCCCCGTTTGATGCGCCAATAAAACGAAAATGTACGGAACCCATAATATTACAAAACAATATATCTGCTGTTATATCACAGACGTCGGACCTGACATTGGGTAGCTACATACATTGTACAGTACTTATTCTCTCTCTTTATATATATATAATTACAAGATACTTGGCAGATCAGGCACTGAAGATAGCGTTACAACGTGTCTGTAACTTATTGTATGAGTGTGATGTATGTATCCTGCATGCATACGCTTGACAGCGCTTACTACTAGAAGTGCAGTTAAATTCCCGCCTTTTTTTAAGCTACATATGCATGCAGCGTCTTATCCGCGATACTGTAAGTTTATCGGCCACAGTTGTCCCCCGTTTTTGCAGTACTGTAGTGGTCTTCCATAAGAGAGTCTGCAAAAAGTGAGGACCTGCAAAAGACGAGGACGGCTTTAAGTGTGTTTAACTAAGTTTACCAGCAACGGGATTGCTTCCAAAAAAGCTGCAAAAAGTGTGGATGAAAATAAAGAAACAGGATTGACTGTATAATAAGTATACATTTGCCACTGTTTGCAGTAAGCTCACGTTTCTCACATCAAACTTTGGCATGTGCGGATCAGCTGCATTTGCAAGTAAGAGAAAGAAAAATCCAAAATCATAAACATAGAAACTACAAAGCACAGGTGCAAAGGATCCATTGTTTTCGTTTATTATTTACTAAGAGCATGGCGTCATGCCTTTTTCCCAAATACAAAATGCTTTTTATAGAAAGGAATGTTACCTTATGTCTTGTGTCTTCTAGCTATGAGTTCTCCAATTGATTTCGACACGCAACTACACAATTGCATTCGTCTCGCTCGTCCCAGCTAGGACATCCTCAAAAAAAGTGCTTGATAGTCACAAAGAGAAGCATACTGCCAAACGGGACTTACAACTTCTCTTCTCCAACCAGCACATTTAGTATATCTAAACCCCAGCAAACATCCACCTTAGTAACAATTTGTTTATCCCCAAACTGCTTCCTACTTCTCAAGAAGGCCTCAGCGTTACGTTGATGGTTGCCATAGAAAATACTCTGTCAGCCTTGACAATATGTGGAGCGGATCCACGATTTCCAAGACATCCTTGGAGTACTTGATACGTGTCTTGGTGCGGCTGCACTTGGTATGAGGCACGATGTATGACACATATTTCTTTCAGCAATGGGAAAAGGCGAAAGGCAAGAGGATGAGGAGGGTGACCACAATTTCGAAGAAAGTGCCAAATATAAGTAAGAACGACGTTGAAGGTCAACATGTTAAGGAAAGCCATACAATCCATGATTGATACCGGGGATGCAAGGAAATGACGTACTACTTATGTATCGGTAGCGCATAGCCGGAACGAGACAATAAGTGTGCTAAAGGGATTCAGGCTTGTATTAGACGTCTACATGCTTTCAATCAATCTTAAAATCCCTTGAATACGAGGTATGCGACATTGTTTCTTCATTCTCTTTATTGGTTTAAATCGACCGGCTTGCCTTACCTTATTCAAATTTGCAACATGTAGAGAAGCAAGAGGCAGTTAAAAGATATTTGCATGGCTCGAATACGAGTGGCAAATAATTATATCTACTTATTATATCGTGGTGTCAACAATATGATAGCAGCAACAGCTAGTGTTATCTACCCAGTTTTCATGCTACAGATGCTTTGGATGATCTATGCGGGGGACGAGAACAAGACGAAATGCGGACAATGTCAGTATCCCTGATGACGAGGATTACGCATACAAGACTGAATAAGCAGAAGCTATAAGTAGAACAAGGAGAAAAAGGAAGAACACCAACCGCGACAAAAAGTTGGAGTTCGCCAAGTATCGAATCAACTCGACAAAAGATTTAATAATGGTGTGCCTAGCGCTTGATATTGTTACTACTGTACACGTAATAAATTGTTTCATGTCTGTCCTAGCCGTTCTGAAGGCAGTCCTTCAATTCATTTATGCTAATCGCTGCAGCCTAGTTACAAAGGAGCGAGTAATAGATATATCGCAAGCAAAAAACCTCCAGGAGGACGGAATCGAAATAATACAAGGTACTGTTATCGTATACATTGAACTTGGGTAATACAACTTTATCGTGAAACTCAACCCCATTGGTTTAGCTAACTCTATACTAGGATCGGTCGGATACAAGGATTCTATTCGAGAGACATGCCCATCAAGTACTTGCTATACAGCTCAGTCCACCATCAATATGCGAGATACTTACGCGACACAAAAGCTGGTGCGCTTCTGATCCCTACACGGTTACTCATGTCGGACGTGAAGAAACCATCAGTTAAACAGGAACATGTGCCCGCCCAATTTGCGTACGAGGAGACCAAAAAGAAATGGTGGAAGCAACAGTAAGCAAGTAACAATCCAAAAATGACCTTCAAATGGAGAATGCGACTGCAAAGCTTAAGCTCAAAGGAGTTGAAGAAGAGCTATCGACACTAAAAGCCAAGTTGGCAGCGCAAAAGAAAGCTTATCAACAAGCAAGTAGTCGCCGAAAACGTGCAAAAAAGAAGTTTCCGTCAAGCCATGGCGAAGACAAGTTAATTGTTGAAGCACCGTGTCCATATGAGGAGGCAAAGTGTCCATGCTTTGCATTAACTCAGACGATACCGTACCAATTTCTTTTGTTTTTTTATAATGCTTTTGTAAGCTTTTTAGACGCTTTCGAAGGCTTCAATTAGCATCAATTACAATCTGGGGTTTTTGACGCTACAAGTATCGATTACAAAGTGCACATACGAGTTTTGATGAAGATGTCATCATAATCTTGGTTCCTAGCAAAACGTTTCTGATATACAGTTGCTCATCGCCTCAATGAAGCGAATTCAAAAACGTAAAATCTGTCAGCTCGAGGAAGCCAGAGTCTACTAACAGCGCCGAGCTTAGCTCGACTAGTAAGCACGATAGTATTATCGGGCCCGGTGCCACCGCCCTCACTACCTACGACATAGCATTTCACATACACCTGCGCAATTTGTAGCAGCACCGACAGCATAAGGACGCACTGTCGAGTGCCTCATGATTTTCCACGGACCAAAGTGTAAACATACAGACGACGACGAGAGCGGTGCGAAAATTGAAGAGTAGGGACATTCTTTCACTGAGCTCAAATAGCACCATCATGCTCTAAGTAAGATAACATTTATATCGATCTACTCACGTCGATATATTGTTGCTAAAGAATTCAGCTCTAATCGTACAAAAGAAACAATTTGATAGGTTGTATGCTATAAACATGTGATCCCATAGTATTTGGATGTTGATAACGACGAATGAGTCAAAGATATACTTGGAGATGACAAAAATTCATGCAAACTGAACAGTGAGGCATCCTTCTGCCAACCAAGAACGGGCCGATTCCGGGTGGCTTGGTAGAAAAATTTCTTTTGATATAGGTTCCCAGCGTGCACCATCTTTAAAACCTTCTCCTTCTTTGCTGCTTGACTTAGTCACCGCTGGTACGTTGCATTAAAGAAAACAAATGCTCAATGCAAGCTTTACGAACAGCAATTAACTAAGATTACTAAACCGTTCTTAGGGATATTTACGAAACAATGTCTTACGTCGTAAGTTTTGATGGCCGTCAACAATTTGCATATTAAAAAAAATGATGGCACCTCTACGTCGAAAACCGGCATTCTGACATATATGTATATACGCGATTTAATTGGCAATAGGCTAAGAACTCTACTCAGAAACCTGGCCTTGAGGAACAGGCTCAGCCCAAGATCCACCGTATCCGTATTACGTTGACCTCGCGCAACGTCAAGAACTTGGAAAAGGGTAAGGAATTTAAAGACAAGACAGACTGGGATCTGTTTACTAGAACTGTTGACTAATCTGCATTTTTGCTCGATCGTTAGTGTCGGCTGACCTGATCCAACGCGCCAAGGACAAGCAGCTCAAGGTCAAGGGACCTGTCCGTCTTCCCACCAAGGTCCTCCGTATCACCACCCGCAAGTCTCCTTGTGGTAACGGTTCGGAGACCTTCGACAAGTTCGAAATGAGAATCCACAAGCGCTTGATCGACTTGCACTCGCCCTCCGAGATTGTCAAGCAGATCACTTCCATCTCCATTGAACCTGGTGTGGAGGTTGAGGTCACCATTGCCTAAATACTTTTTTTTTGTGCTTTAGCCCTCAGCGAGTATGTGCCATACGCGTACCCCTCTTTTTCTTTTTTTTGTAATAAAATTGAATACGGGTGCTGTTTGCCCTCATTCTCTACTTGTCAAACAAAACAAATACTGTGTTTTGAATGTGTAAATGTGCGTCTACATATTAGCTTCTACGCTGATAATAACTGGAAAGCGTGAGAAGACCACACTGTGCTAGACAGTAATGGCGGTGGCATTGAATTAATGCTCACAGATGATGGCGGCGGACATTTTTGAATGCCAAGTAAACTGGTCGCTCGTAGATTCCCGCAGCACATACACACTCTTTTCTCTCACCTCTTTCAAACTATGATGTACAGTGTTGATTCCCGTCTGATCCCGTCGATCGTATACTCGCTGTGCTAACAACATGCTCCTTGAACAGATTCAATATCGATGATCTCGTAGTGCACTTTCCCTATGACAAGATCTATCCCGAACAATACCAGTACATGTGCGATCTAAAGAAGGCGCTTGATGCGCAGGTACGCAGACTTTAACGACCAATATTGATCCCATTCGACTTAAAATCAAATACTTTGTAATTGTTATATAGGGTCACTGTGTGCTTGAAATGCCTTCTGGTACTGGTAAAACAGTATCACTTTTGTCGCTCATTGTAGCCTACCAAATGGTAAGATTTGGGGTCTTGGACGAAGGCAATCGCATAATCTCTCTTTGGATATACAGAAAAAGAAAGACGAGTTAAATCTCTTTTTTGCTTATTCTTAGCAACACCCGGAAGATCATCGTAAACTAGTATACTGTTCACGAACTGTTCCAGAAATTGAAAAGGCTTTGGCAGAGTTACGACAGTTGATGAAATACCGTAAAGAACAGGGACTTGAAGACGATTATTTTGGCGTTGGATTGACAAGTCGGAAAAACCTGTGCTTGCATCCTGTCGTATCGAGAGAGCGAAAAGGAAAAGTGGTGGACTCGAAATGCAGAAATATGACAGCTAGTTGGGTACGGGCAAAGGCAGGCAAAGGAAAAGGCGCCAACACCAATCCACAAGATTTGGAAATCGATTCTAATGTGGAACTATGCGACTTTTACGAGGTAAATAAATTCCGGTGTGAAGAGGCCAAGCAATGGAAAGAAGAAGATTCCCTTATAATAATAATAATATGTGGATGTGTATGAACTTTCGTGACTATTAGCAATTGGATGCCATGAATTCTCCAAACCCTATTCCCAAAGGCATTTATACACTTGCTGACTTGAAGGCGTATTGCGAGAAAATGAAATTCTGCCCTTACTATTTGGTTCGACGAGCAGTAAGTCATTTCTTTCTATGTGTTATTAGCAATTAAACAATATATCTTGTAGGGTATTCTCATGCTAATCATAAGGTGCTTGTATAAATAGATTCCGTTTGCAAACATCGTCATTTATTCATACCACTATATGCTTGATCCAAAAGTTGCTGAACTTGTGTCAAAAGAATTATCAAAAGATGCTATTGTTGTGTTTGATGAAGCCCACAATATTGGTAAATCTACTTTTAAATGGTCATGTTAAACATTTGATAAGTGTATGTGGTTGGCTAATAAAAATGTATGGTTTTAGACAATGTGTGTATTGAAGCACTCAGTATCGATTTAACGCGACCGATGCTTGACGCTGGTGCAAGAAGTATTACGATGCTGGCGGATAGAATCCAAGAGTACGTAGTGAAATATGCGTGATGATCTATCATTCAGCCAGGAGCAGCGACCTATACTTGACGGTGATAATGATGATTTCTTTTGCCTCGTTAGAATCAAAGAAACGGACGCAGAACGATTACGAAACGAATATTCAAAACTTGTGGAAGGTTTACGGGACGCAAGTGCAGCACGCGATGAAGACACATTTATGGCGAGTCCAGTACTCCCAGACGACTTGTTAAAAGAAGCAGTACCGGGAAACATTCGACGAGCGGAACACTTTGTAGCGTTTCTGCGAAGGTTCATTGAATATCTCAAAACCCGTATGCGCGTCATGCACGTTGTTGCGGAAACACCTGTCTCGTTTTTACAGCATCTAAAAGATGTAACCTATATCGAACGCAAGCCATTACGATTCTGTGCAGAGCGGCTTACGAGTCTTGTCCGTACGCTTGAATTGACCGATTTGGAGCATTATTCGAGTTTACAAAAGATCGCCTCGTTTGCAACCCTTGTTGCCACGTATGATAAAGGATTCATGTTGATCCTTGAGCCGTTTGAGACGGAAACAGCTACGATTCCCAATCCAGTCTTTCATTTCACGTAAGTGGGAGAAAAGTTATGTGGACTACCACGCTTCCTTTTTTTCCGAACTGACAACACATCTTTTCTGGGGTTGATTGATACTATTAGTTGCTTGGATGCGTCTATAGCTATTAAGCCGGTGTTTGAACGGTTTGGTACAGTGGTCATTACATCTGGAACATTATCACCGCTGGAAATGTACCCTAAGATGTTGAATTTCCAAGCTGTCGTTCAAGAAAGTTATGCCATGACGCTGACGCGAAACTGTTTCTTACCCATGGTGCGTATAACAATTACTGCCTACCATTCGATAATGCTCGTTGTTGCGAAGGAATAAAGAACAACTTTGAGTTTCTCTAATTTATCATTTTAATCAGGTTATCACTCGTGGCTCGGATCAAGTCGCTGTAAGCTCCAAATTTGAGGTTCGAAACGATCCAGCCGTTGTTCGCAACTTTGGTCAAATTATGGTGGAGTTTTCTAAAATTGTACCTGATGGTGTCGTTTGCTTCTTCCCAAGTTATTTGTACATGGAGCAAATTGTATCAATGTGGAATGATATGGTAATGCGATATTCTATGTCGTAGTAGGGTGTAGCTGTAGTAGTAGTAAATAACAAGACAAAATATTTTAGGGTATTCTAAACGAAGCATGGAAGCATAAGCTCATCTTTGTGGAGACTCCCGATGCCGCAGAGACTTCCATGGCACTTGCTAACTACAGAAAGGTAAGATAAACCAGCGTCATTGATTTCTTGTCACTAACTGTTTGTGGCAATGCTTATTCAAGGCCTGTGATAACGGACGTGGGGCTATTTTGCTGTCGGTGGCTCGTGGTAAGGTCTCTGAAGGTATCGATTTCGATCACAATTATGGCCGTGCTGTACTTATGTTTGGTATCCCATATCAATACACCGAGTCGAGAATCCTTAAGGTTGGTTAGAGCTCTGTTGTCGAATTTGAACAAGAGAAAGGAAAAGGATTAAAATAGGGTATGCACGACCGGATTACGGTACATTAGGCACGATTGGAATATTTACGGGATAACCATCACATCCGAGAAAACGATTTCTTGACCTTTGATGCCATGCGCCATGCAGCCCAGTGTGCTGGACGTGTATTACGAGGAAAGACGGATTATGGATTGATGGTGTTTGCAGATAAGGTATGGATACTTTCCAATGATGGATCCTTGCTCATAATATTTAAACAGTAAGACTCACTCTTTTGTCCTGATGAAAAATAGCGATTTGCCAGAGCAGATAAGCGATCCAAGTTACCCAAATGGATCAATCAATATGTTACGGATGCTTCTACCAATTTGTCAACGGATATGGCCCTTGTCATTGCCAAAAAGTTTCTAAGAACTATGGCGCAGCCTTTTGAAATGAACCAGTCAGGTGTATCTTTATGGACATTAAAAGACATCGAGGCACGACAAAAGACTACTGCGGCATAATGGTCATTGAAGACTGGTCAGGAAAACGCAATAGTTTTCGTTCATCTCCTTAATCATAGTTATAAAAGCAGTAAAAACACAATAACCAAAATAAAGTGAGTCATTTGGCGCAGCAGTAACGAAAATTAAGCGTGTAACCATCGCATCTCATGATTTCAGCCCAGAGCCCTTCACGCGAGGGCGGGGTGGTCGCCACGACCACCACCTGCAAAAGCCACTGACACGGGTCAGTCTGATCTTTTTGATGCGCCTGGTGTCTTTAAGTCTTCGCATCTCTGTTCGCAAGTACCCCTTACGCTCTTTTTGTAGAATGGCCAGTTCCTCTTCCCGGGTGCAGCCGAATTGGCATGCTCCATCTTCTGCTGAGAACAATTCTAATAAACCTGTTTTAAAATTATACAATTCGTTGACCAAAACCAAGGTATTGAAGACCCAGAGAAAGAAAGATCCTGCTCGAAGGTCAAATTGATCCTATGGAAAGACTAACCTTCTTCACGCTCTAAATTCAGACTGAATTCGTACCTAAACGTCCAGGTCACGTTAGCTGGTACAACTGCGGCCCTACCGTCTACGATGCAGCTCATATGGGTCACGCTAGGTAAAAGAAGGTGCAGCGACGACAACCGTTCAGTCGCATCTACAGAAGCAAAGAAAAAATATCTGACGGACTATTATCTATGTGTTATCAGAACTTACTTGAGTATGGATATTATCCGACGTGTCATGGAGTCATATTTTGGATATCAAGTTCAATTTGTCCAAAACGTTACAGATATTGATGATAAGGTAAAAAAGAACAAACTTAGCATATAACCAGCAGCGATATCTAATTCAAAAAAAAATTACATATTAGATCATTTTGCGAGCACGCCAACAATATTTGTTCAACAACCTTAAAAACTCGACGGAAAGCCTAAACAACGAACTTATTGAGAGAGTCGAGAAGTACTGGAACGACTATGCAACATCCAAACTCTCTGCCGTGAAAGGCGCTGCTTCTGAGGCGACATCCGATTGGACAGCTTTCGTTGCAATGATGACTCCCGAGGCATTGGCTAAGGCTGTCTTGGTCGATGAGAAGTTCAAAATGCATTTCACTGCTCTTGTAAGTCCTTGCGCTATGCGACCTAAGCTGTTATAGTGGTACATATACATACAGCTGCTAATGATCATTAATCACTATCACCCTATGTTAGCAAGCGTCTCGGGCTGCCATTGATGTTGCAAAGTGTGCATTAGCTCAGGGTAACAACGCCAAGCAGAGCGCAGAGGTTCTGTTGGATACGTCACAGGATATTGTCTCGTTAGCGTTGGATAAGACTGTACGTTATTACTCTAAGTATTGAACAATATTGCCACCAATTTAATCAAGCAATTGCTGATGAAATCGAGAAACTTTATCAGGAAGGAGAAGCAGTGACTGACTCCAAGATCTTCCGTGAACTGTCGTCGTATTGGGAAGATATGTACTTTAAGGATATGAAGGCATTGAATGTAAGTTAGAGCTAATTAAGAATGACAACAGATCCGAAGAAACCGAAAAGGAAACGATAAAGAGCCTTACAGATACTTTCTTCTAAAAGGTTCTTTCACCAAGTGTGAAAACACGTGTAAGCGAATTCGTTCCTGAAATTGTCACCTACGTCAAAAAGATCATTGCAAACGGATACGCATACGAAGCAGACGGCTCAGTTTATTTTGATACCGCACGCTTTGACGGACACGAAGGACACCACTATGCTAAACTCGAACCAAAGTCCAAGGGTGATATTGCTCTGATCGAAGATGGTGAGGGTTCGCTGGGCACTAAACTTCAAGGCAAGCGAAGCCAGAACGATTTTGCATTGTGGAAAGCATCTAAACCCGGAGAGCCCGTGTGGGATTCACCTTGGGGTAAGGGTCGACCTGGCTGGCATATTGAGTGCTCTGTCATGGCAAGCGCTGTGCTTGGCGACAATATGGATATCCACTCTGGCGGTGTCGATTTGGCATTCCCTCATCATGACAACGAATTGGCACAGTCGGAGGCGCATTACAACTGCCCACAATGGGTCAATTACTTCTTGCACGCCGGCCATTTGCATGTCGAAGGACAAAAGATGAGCAAGAGTCTGAAGAACTTTATCACAATTCAAGAAGCACTAAAGACATATTCGCCCCGCCAATTGCGTATCTTTTTCTTGGCCCACCAGTGGAACACCAAAATGGATTTCAAACAGTCGGGTATGCAGGAAGCTGTCGGCATGGAAACCACTATGAAGGTATGTTTTTCTCAATCTAGTATGTGGTTTGTATGTGCAAATGGATATAAAACTAATTGACTTTGGTGGTTCGTCTTCAAAGAATTTGTTTGATAATGTGGCTGCATTGAGCGACCGTATTCGATCTGATGGATCCCGTGGCTCTACAATTTTGCCCAACGGTGACATTTCTCACCGCTGGAGAGATGATGAGAACGAACTCAGCACCTTGTAAGTTGAATTTTGCTACATAATGCGTAACACAAACTCTAAATTATTATCGCCGTCATTAGCTTCCAAGAACGTGTCGATGGTGTTCATTTTGCACTTTGCGACTCAATCAACACGCCTGTTGCCATGGATGAAATAATGTCTTTGATCAACCAGACCAACAAGTACCTTGTTAAGGGTGCTGCCTATGTAAACATTGATTTACTGGAAGATATTACTAGCTGGATTAGCCGAATGATGGAGGTATTTTGTCGCGTCTTCTCTATTATGGTAGAAAAAGCAAAATGTATTGAACTAGATTCTTGGCTAAAATAGATTTTTGGTGTCGAAATGGGTGACAATGCCAAATCCAACGCTGGTGCAGACGTAAGTATTCTCCTTCTACTTCTTCACAGGTGATTGAATCGCTGACATTAGCCGGACATATATAGAAAGAATTTTTAATGCAATGCCTGCGTACGCTATCATCATTCCGAGACAAGGTCCGACAACTTGCCCTCGACAAGAAAGATCCCAAGGAATATCTCAAACTCTCCGACGAACTTCGGGATGTCCAACTGGCAGAGCTTGGTGTTGCTTTAGACGATCAAAAAGGTAAAGAATCGTTCATCCTACGAACAGGATTATGGATATCCACAGTGGCTAACTAAATGCCTTATATAACCGTAGATGGCACTGCACTGGTAAAAATACTGACACCTGAAGAAGTCAAGAAGGCCCGTGACGAAAAGTTGGCTCAGCAAGCTGCTAAAGCTGCTCAGGCTGCTGCTGCCAAGGCCCAGCGACTGCAGAAAGGATGGGATCGATTGCAGAAGGGTAAAAAGTCCCCAGAGGACATTGAAAAGGAACGAAAACAGGAGAATCCTGAAATGTCCAAGAATCAAGTGAAAAAACTTGCCAAGGAGATGGATGTCCAGAAGGGACTGCATAGTGAATACCAAAAATACGAAGCATTCCTGAAAGAGTCTGGTGAGCCGGACAGTCTCGAAGGATACGAAGCATATCTCAAACACACGAAATAAAAACGGATGAATCTTTTTTGTAAATTACTTCAATGATAGAAAGAGGGAGAGAGAGAGAGAGACTATATATATTATACTATTTGTTTTCAAATTTACAAAAAAAGACAGGGTACTATTAGGAACTGAGTCTTTGTTACGAGTGAGTGAGGGAGGGAGTGGAGAGACAGATGATGTACTAAGGTATGGGACAAGAGTAAGGGAAAACTTAGTAGGAGAGAGAGAGAGAATGCGGATGATGCTTGAGTGTGATGATGTGTGGTATAAGTGAATCATCGAGATCGCCACTGGCTCGGTAAGGAACCAGCGATACGGCCTCTAAGTCCAGAAGGTACTGGCTGATGTGCTTGTGGTGGAGGTGGTGGTGGTAAGGTTTCTAAATTGATATTGTTGTTGTTGCTTTCGGAATTTCCTGTCATCCTTGCTGGAAGCTCGATAGCAGGGTCATTATCACCACGCTGTGCTGCTGCTGCTGCTGCTTCGTTGACTTGACGACGCATACTCCGTGGTAAACTTCGAGCCATCCATGATCGACTAAACTCTTCCGCTTGATCGGCTCGAATAGTTGGTCCAAACATGGTTCTAGGTGTGTGTGGTGACGGCGATGGGGTCGATGAAGTGCTGCTGCTGCCATTACCACCGAAAAAGCGTAGAGAAAAAGGCGAATTCGTACGGGATGGTAAAGACAAATGATCGGCTCCTATTTCGCGAGAAGAAGCTGTGTCCATTTCGATATCCGAAGTTGCTTTTGGGATGTCGAGTGAACAGTCGTATTTGCATAACGGACATGACGCGGACTTTATCGTAAGCCAAGGATCTAGCATACAGTAACGATTAAGTACTCTAGTTCTAGACAGACGTATCGAAACAGATGTGATACACGAGAAAGAACTACAGATTACCTATACACTCGCAGTGATACTCATGACCGCATGGCAGCTTGCGCACAGAGTCACCGGAAGAAAACCCATCCAAGCAGATAACACAAGAATCATCGTCGACATGGGCGAGGTGCTCCGAAAGATCTGTCGAAGGACACGTCCGCTGGTGTTGTGGAGCTTGTGGTGTTGGTATTGGGGATGACGGCGTTGGAAAAGTGCTACCTTCTGCAATGGATTCCTGATGTTGTTGTGGTTGTTCAAACGATATTATTGTAGCATCGTTCGTAGTCTTTTGATCGACTGATGTTGCAAGAGCCGCTGCGTTTCGTAGCGCTTTGCCAGAACGAGTAGAACGTACAGATTGGGAGGAATTCCGCCGCTGAGTAGCAACAGCGATGGGTGAATCTGGTTGTATGCTGTTGTTGTTGTTGTTGTTGTTGTTGTCATTGTTAATATTGATATCGGTTGTGGCTCCAATGGTACGTGTTGGAAACAAGGTTAGCATGGATGCGTCGATCACCTTCTTTTCTGAATTGACTTGGAACGCTTGCGGAAACGGGGGTGGCAATAGTCCGTTTTCATACAAGAGTCGTTGTCGACGACGAATACGCCATAAATGATAATGCATGCCCACTAGATAGTGATAAATTAAATGGGTGGGAGTTAAGTTTTTTTTTTCAAGTTGGATTGACCCTGCATAATATGCAAGGTAATTATAACAATAACGATGGTTTGTTTCTTTGTTGCCGGTCTCCTATGTATGTATCATTTCCTCCTTTTTTTGAACACCTTCAAAGCACCCGCGCACCCATTTTTCACTCTCCATAAAAAAAGGACTAGTCCTCTTACCAGATGCTAAGAAGCTTACTGCAAGTAAAGCAACGACTACAATAAGTGTAAATTCCCATGCGCTCGGAAACCCGCCTACTGCAGGATACAACACGACTTTGATCGCCTTCTGATACGATACATTATTAGCGCCATCCTGGTTGACATGTACCTCTTGTTGTAGTTTGCGCAATAAATCAACACCTATATCCAGGTCGACATAGTAAGCGACGATGCTAATATTTCCGGGCGGAATGTTCTATATCGAAAAGCGACAAAATTTGAGTTTTCTGGAAAACACATTATATTCTTGTGTAGTACTTGGCGCTCAGCTCTATCCACTCTCAAAAGCGCATGCCCAGCGTAAACCACGACAGATATCGTGGGAGTCTGTGCATTCTTGGAAGAGGTCCATCTACTTGGAGCTATAAAGTGGTGTTCACTATTACCATGATGCCCGCCCGAGGATCCTTTTCAAAAGGTATCTGGTCGTAAATGATGACCCCTACTGCGCCATCCATTTGCGAATATATAACTTTATCTGCAAAAGAGCAATTGCCGCGTCGAACAAGGGCGATTTTTCGTTGGTCGGTCAACAATGGTGGTGCAGGCGTATCCGAGCTATTTTCGAGTTCACAGGATAGACCACGATCGTATAATATGCCCTATTATTGCCATTTCAATAAGATCATATTAGACTGCATATCATAGGAAGGAGGAAGAGCGCAGCGAGCTGCATATCAATCGCATTGAGTATTTCAGATAATAAGAAACAACAGAACGAAAAAACGTTACTGAGAGTCCAGACGAGTCGGGTTGGGTCAGGTTCGTATTAGGCACAATGTTTTGTTTGTAATTTTGTGGTTCAATGGCAGAATCAACTGCGTCAATGGATGAGGTGTTGGAGAACAGCGTGACAGAAGCTACAAGGTTGATTGGGAGATAGTTGGTATAAGCATTTTTTTGTTCCAGGTACCTCATGGTTTTTGCGCATGTCCCTTCCGCTATTTATCCTTTTCTTCCATGTTCTCGCTGATAGCTGAGAAAGGAGCGAGCGATATAGCAACAAAGTACCTGCAGAAATGTACGGATTACTGCTGGAAAAGAGACTGGCATGGACTGTACAAAGGCATTGTAACAAGCAGATCAGCCGAAGAAGCATTATCAACGACGGCGACGGGATAAAAGAGGACGGGAAGAGAGAAGTGCTTGCTGTTTCGGACTGAACTCGGCAGCCGAAAAAATATATATAAAAAAAAGGACGCCCATTATGGTCAATTTTATTTTTGCTTTGGGCGACTACTACTGCTCGCACATTGTTCACTGCATACAACAAGGAAGGAGGAGCAGATAGTGATGCAACAAGTGATCATCCTTGCTTTTCAACTATGGTGCAGGAATAAAGAGGCCGCCTTTAAAACCAGGCTTTTATCTTGCAGGCACGCTAATTGTGCTACATGTGCGTACACTGATTAAGCCTTGCTGCGTCTGTTGCTATTGCCAATAGCAATAATTACTGGATCATGACAACTTCTCACTGGGCTTTTCCTTTTCCGTTTGAAGTCATTTACCTGTCAGCCTTTCATGATTGTGCCTGAAAGCACAAGCTCGTGTAGGGACGCCCATCCCACTGCCGCCTTCACTTGCAGTAGGGACGGATCAACATGAAAAACGCTTCTTTGTCTTTCGGCCTGGAACACAACCCCATTGTGCATCAAAAAAAGAACCGTTGTGTGTAACACAAGCCCTGTTTTTTTGAAATACAGCGAGACCATCTTATTTTTAAGCAAGCGACGTGGCAGATACTCAAGGACGCGTGCATAAGAGAAAGAAGGAAAAAGAGAACAGGCCGCTTGCGTTTTTCTTTTTTTTGAATTTTTCTGTTGCCATTGGAATCGAATGCCAGCAGCATATGTCTATCCAACCTTGGACGACGAACCGCTCGTACCCATAACCACGACGAGTGAAAATAGTAGACACACTACTGTCAGCACTGATCATCCAGGAACTGCCTTCTCCACATCTGTCATGGATCCTTCAATTACTGCTGCCACTACCCAACGGCGGAAAGAAGTACCTCTTGCCGACGATGAAAAGGAAGAGCTCGAGCTTGACTCGCTTGGCAAAAACAAAGAGTCAAATACCAACGAAAATTACAATGACGACGCGACAACTGCAACGACGACGACAACAAGTCAGCCAGAAACACTCCACAAAGAAGATCTCGGCAACTTCATCCTACTTGTCATTTTATGTATGTGCTCTCCCTGGTTTGCTATCTTTAACAAAAAAATTCTCTTAACGCGAAACATTTCTCTGTGTGCTGGGGAAGATAGATCTACTTCAAGGTGTACCTGTGGGTCTCTCATTCGGATCGATTCCATTTCTCCTCAAGGAGCAAATGTCATACTCGCAGATCGCCGTGTTTTCTTTATCGTCGTGGCCATACTCCTTGAAATTCCTATGGTCACCAATCGTAGATGCACTTTACTCACCCACCGTGGGACGCCGAAAATCATGGATCATACCTATCCAAATCATGACCGGCTTTCTTTTCTTGTTGCTCGGTCAGAACATTGATGCCTTAATGGAAGCCGAGCATATCCCGATCTACTATCTCACCTGTGCATTTTTTATCACGATCTTTTTCTGTGCTACTCAGGATATTGCTGTCGATGGCTGGGCTTTGACGCTTCTGTCTAAAGACAGCCTTTCTTATGCGTCCACCGCTCAAACCATTGGTCTCAACACAGGCTACTTTCTATCGTTTACGGTGTTTCTGGCTTTAAGCTCGCCCGAATTTAGCAACAAGTATATTTGGTCCGAGCCCCAGCAGTATGGAATTTTAAGATTGGGTGCCTACATGAAGTTCTGGGCGTTCATGTACTTTGCTGTGACCGCTTGGCTTATTTTTATGAAAAAAGAGGTAATGGATATAACGAGGCACTGATGATTTTGAGTAAAAAAGAACACACAGAGAGAGAGAGAAACGAAAGGAGACTATGTCTTTATTATACCTATACCTTGCACATACCGTATCTATCTATTGACTAGATTCCTATTTCTTCAACTAGACACCTTCTCATACCGATGAAGACCAGCTGGGTATCAGAGGAGTATATACGACAATCTGGAAAATATGCAAACTGCCACGTAAGTTCAACTACATTGAAGAGACCCAAACTTTAATACAACATGAGACGACAAGGGTTATGCTTACAAATCGTTCTTGTGTGCATCTGCAGACCTGCGATCGTTCATCTTGGTGCTATTGACAGCAAAAATTGGGTTCATCTGTCATGAGGCGGTGACGTCTCTGAAGCTTCTTGAAAAGGGATTTTCCAAGGAAGATTTGGCCTTATCAGTTCTACTGGATTTTCCTCTCCAGATCTTTTTTGGTTATTATGCAGCAAAGTGGTCAAACGGACCCCGACCATTAAAGCCGGTAAGCCTTGATATTACTTGATTTCTGTTTTGCCCTATTACCGCACTGGCGTGTCTCAGTAACTTACTCTCTTGTATATCTTGCAAGTGGTTATATGCATTCTATGGGCGCCTCCTGTTTTCAGCAGTAGGGATGCTGGTTGTCGCTTGCTATCCACAGGAGAAAGACATTGGCTACTTTTATTTTGGCGTTATTATGGGCTCGACGGTCTTGGGCTCATTCATGTCCACAGTTCAGTTTGTCAGCATTTCTGCCTTCATGACCAGTATTGCCGATCCGCTCATTGGTGGAACATACATGACGGTAAGAGAAACAAGCTTCTTCTATCTTTCCAACCTGCAAACCATATCAACAGTGTATACTTTTAAAATTAACTCCCGTCCTTTTTTCCTTTCAGCTCCTCAACACATTTAGTAACTTTGGTGGAACGTGGCCCAAATTTTTTGTACTGGAGGCAGTTGATCATTTCACAGAAGCTACCTGCTCTATACCAAACGCTGGTGGACAAGGTAATGTATTATATATCCTCTCAAGCGATGTTAGTCGAAAAAGGCTGCTTTGTTGGAACTAGCTGGGTGCTCATTGAATTCTCTGCTTTACATTATATTCAGAATTTTCATGTGTGGAAGAGAGTGGTGCTTCACTATGCAAGGAGCTTAATGGAACATGCGCAATCCAAAAGGATGGATATTATACTGTCGGTATAATTTGTGTTGCTATAGGGTTTGTGCTTCTTGTCGGTTATATTCGACCAATAATTCATCGTCTAGAAGGATTATCGAAACGAGCATGGAGAATTAGTCGGTAGTAATAGTTGATCGTTTAGTGGTTGGCATTTTAAATATATTCTTTTCTCTTCCTTTCATCCTCAACATCCTTTCTACTCCATTTCAATTCCGGACCTTGTTCTTATCAATACATTAAATATCTTAGTTATATCTGATAGAGAAGTAAGCCTTTAAACGCCATCTCTTAAGCTTTAAGACTTTGTGGTATTACTTTTCATTGCTATAATCCGAGTGTGGTTGTTCTCGTATGTTCATCAAATGACTTACCGATGACTGATGGGCACATAGGATAAGTAGCTAAAAACTGTCTATAGATCGCGACTGATTTGACATTATTACGTTTCACGTCAGTTTTTTTATGCATTTTATTAAGTGGCAAATACATATCAACAAATCACTCTCGTGTATGGGATCTACTACGTTGTGTCTCTTATAGTGACATCAGGATAAGTTTGTGTGGTTTTTTCATAATCCGTATGCATTGTTTGATACCATACACTGCAAATCATCCTCGCAGCAGCAATATAGCGCTATTCGCTACGATATACGCTTACTTGTAATATTCTTCTAAATTCAGGTACTTTAACACCATAAATCATTATTGAATTACACTGGAGCTGAAAGTATTCCAGACATTGTATCCAGTACGGACTACCATTAACATATTATGAAAAGGAGCGCATATCAATGAGATAGCTATCATCCGCGTATTTCAACAATAAAATGAACTTGCGTGGACGGACACTTTTTCTTATACTGATACTTAGCATTATTTCAAGTAGCGGGATTCTTAGCTGCATGTACTCCTTTTTTCAACATGCCAAGACGCACCAAAAATCTCACCAATGAGTTGACTACATAGAACGCGTTTATCATTCGTCAAGCGGTACTCACAAACTTTGATTTGCATCGCGGTACACGTAGATTCTGATACCATCGCCAATGTCAATTTAGAAGCGAACAACCATTAAGACAATCCACGTCAAAAAGCGCACGCAACAGCGATCCTTTACTACTACAACAGCTACATTTGGTGTTGGTTTGAAGGATGGAGGAAGTCGCAAACAATGTAGAGGACTAAAGTCGCTATTGCCACAGTGTCTCTTACGATAATTGAAAGAAAAGTTGACAATATAACTGTCTAGATGGACAACTAATCATGCTTAATAAAGAAAACTGAAAGTTTATGTGAGCTGGCGCGCACGCAATAAAAAAGGTTTAAATGACAACAGCATATGATCTTCTACTGTGCTCGAGTAGCGATGAGAGGTGACTTGTATCTACGGAAGTATATATAGCATAAAAGATTCTCTACCTAGTAAATAGCTTGACAAGTCGTGACTAATGTTCTTCTCATCTTGATTTTCATAGGCGGTCACCGTCTTCAACGTTCTTGTCGATAGGGACTTGTTGAAGAAGGTCTATCGAAGTGTCTTGTCGCTAGTGCCATGTCTACAAAGAAAAATCCTAAACCAATGTTCGGTATCGAAGAGCTACGGTTGACAATCCGGACAGCATCACGCAACATCGACGAGCATTAATCTCTATATGCACTGCAGATGTGCGCTCTTCAGCCGATTATTCTTTAATCGGGTGAATGAGTAAAAAGGCATCATTATATGCTGCATATCATTGTTATGTGTGCCTAAGTGACAACCTCTGCAACATTAAAATAAATGTTGACGTAGCAACGTAATCATCATTAAGGGTGCAAAGAGCAAATTGTACCTGTAGCTGCTTGTGAGTATTCACCTATGCACAATAAGGATGAGGTTATTGATTCCCTGTCTCGCATGAGGTTCTTCTCCTCTCTGCTGTCTGAAGACGTATAGTTCAACGCCCCTTTTTAAGTCAACATTGTATCGGGCATGCTGCAAGGTATGAGATCAATGCGCAACCGTGGTTCGATGGTCGGTCATGGCTATTGCACGTCAGAAAGTAGCATACGAATGCTCCTATAACGTTCCGGCTCCCGGATCGGTAAGCGGCAACTGCCTAACAGTAATGAAGAAAAGTAACAGAAGAATACTATATACTAACATGCATATTTATACAGCAGACGGCACTCGAGTGCCAATAACCGATGACATCTGGCTCTTCTGCGCGCCGAACGAACAAGAGCATGTGTATCAAAGCTGGTTTCCTTCGTATGTGAATGAATTATACTCACTTGCTTTAGCATTACTATAATGATGAATTGCGTAAGAGTCTCTGACTTGTTTTATGTACCACTCCTAGTACCATACTGCTACGTAGAGCATCTGCAACGTCGACATCAGAAAGTGTTGCGCGAAGAAGCAACCGAGATCATACGACATCGAGCTGATACAAGCAGCTTGTACAACAGCTATTACAGGGCGGGGAAGGATATGAACCTTCAATTTTGGCTCGACGCAGCGTTGTTGTTCGCGAAAATGACAACGAGAAACCATCGGCCTGTATAAGCCCGTTCGCATTTAGTGCCTGAGAGTTTCAACATGAGGGTTGATTCAGACGGAGTGCCAAACTGCTTACGCGAAGGACTGATAGCAACACTAGCCATTTGTTAATGTACTTGAGTATGATCATCTATGACGCAACGCTTGGATCAGCGACATCAAATCTTGGTTTTCTATAACCTGCTGTTGCCATTGCAACCGCGGACTTGATCCTCTTGTAGTAGGCGCACTGACCATCAGATAAAACTTTTTTGACATTGACACGGTGTCTGGAAAATCAAGCGGAGCAGCCGCATATGTGAAACATACACGCACAACCAGACACACAGGGACGACGCACGCGCATAACGACTACAACGGCCGTTTCCATAGTACTTGTACTTCTTCAGCTCCCCATTCTTCCTGTATTCCTTTGCTTTATTACGCTCAGAACAAGCAGAATAGCGACAGAAAAATTACAACGTCACGCGTCTGGCGGAAATTCAATTTTCACTTGTTTATCAAAAAAAACTGTTTTTCTTCTTTTTTTTTCTTCTTCACCAGCGTATTCAAAATCCAAGTCTAACATGGTTACCATCATTTACACTGAAGAACCTTTTTACTCACCATACGACTACAGGGACTACCATTATAGTACGTCCTGTTACTACGAACCTCCCACCTTCTCGCTCCTTTGGGAATCACATCCCTATAAAACCTTCTTTATTGCCATTACCGCCATTTTGGTGTGTATCGATTGCATTCCCTTCTGCTGGCCGGCTCGTCCGATTGCTGCCGCATTGATCAAGTTCCTGTTCGCCCTGTTCGTACTTGTTATCATGGCAATTGTTCAATTTTTCTTCCCGCCCCCGCCTGCAGAGTACTGCCTTGTGGGCTTGCAACCGTCGCCCCCGTCTCATGCCTCTACCTCTCGTCCTCGCTTCCATTCCTCTCCGGGTTTGTGCCCTGCCGTCTTTTGCTCCGGCAATGACGAAGAGCGTGATGCTGCTGAAGCATTGGAGAGAATGCTACGTGCTGATGTTGAAGCTGTTGCCGCTGTCGCCGTTGCTAAAGAGCACGCGCAAAAAGAAGAAGTTGTTGCCGCTGTCGCCGTTGCCAAAGAGCACGCGCAAAAAGAAGTTGTTGCCGCTGTCGCCGTTGCTAAAGAGCACGCGCAAAAAGAAGAAGTTGTTGCCGCTGTCGCCGTTGCCAGAGAGCACGCGCAAAAAGAAGTTGTTGCCGCTGTCGCCGTTGCTAGAGAACACGCGCAAAAAGAAGTTGTTGCCGCTGTCGCCGTTGCCAAAGTGCACGTGCAAGAAGTTGTTGTCGCCGCCGCCGTCGCCCCTGTGCACGCGCAAGAAGCCGAAGAAGAAGAAGAAGAAGTTGTTGTCGCTGTCTCCGCTGCCCCCGTGCACGAGCAAGAAGAAGACGAAGAGGAGGAAGAAGAAAAGGATGTAGAAATGGATGAGGTACAAGACGACGAGAAAGAAGAAGACGAAGTAGAAGAGGACGTTGAAGTCGCGTTCATTACGCCTGCCACCGCCACCGCCACAGTTCACCACCACCAACTTCGCCGTCACCAACCTTCTCATGATCCGCCCACCACTGCCGTTCCTTTCACCATCACCGCCTCCCGCCGTCATCCTCACTTCCGCCGCCGCACCCATTCCATTCTTTTCTGCCCTTATCCTCGCGCTCCTCGTCATTACCGCCGCCGCCACTCTTCCGTCTACCTTTCACTTCGCTCTCTTATTGCCGCCTCCCGCCAACGTTCTTCTTCCTCGCCAATCACCAGCGCCGCTCACTGTCATCATCAGCAACATCATCGTCATCGCGTACACACCGCCAACCGTTACGCTCCTTACCACCACCGATTGCATCGTCGTCATCGCCGTTCTTCTTCCTCCCTCCTGTCTCTCCGCTCCCTTATTGTCGCTTACAACCACCAACAACTGTCTTCTTCTCCGCTTGCAACCACCGAGTCCACCATTACTACCACCGCCGCCACCACATTCCCATCCGCGTCGTTCGATTTCACCTTTGCTCCGCCTACTCGTCCACGTCTAATGCCGCCCATTTTGTTCCCCGCTCCGCCTGCTGCGCGCGACAGTATTGCTTCGTCTTCTTTCTCGCCTCCTGCCGCCACTACCACTTCCGCACCACCACCACAGACCGACGCAGAGGAGCTCATGGAGTTGTTGGTGGTTGATATTGCAAACACCTCCAAGTACGACGCGCAGCTGCTGGAGATCCTTGCGCTGGAGGATTCTCAAGAGGTGTTAAACCGGTTGATCGCGCTTGTCCATCAGGACAGCGATCTTCGCGGCTTGTACGAGGGTAAGTAACAGCCAAAATGTCAATTCTTTCCCGTCTGAAATGGGTTACGTGTTATAAGTTAGATACTGATAGAAATGCTTTTTTAAACAGGCGTTTAAGCCCAGTCCGTTCCTTCCTGTCCTCTCCCCTGGTGTTGTCGTCTTCTTTTTTTCCGCGTCTGTGCCGTCATTTTCCTTTCACCCGCCATTTATGCCCGTCTATGCCTCCTATGCCCGTCTATATCGTCTATGCCTCCTATGTCGTCGTTTGCTGTTCTGTTTCGTGCTGCGTAGTGACCTTATTCGGTCATCGTTTCTTTTTCTATCTGGTGGGTTTGAGCTCATCGTTGTCGGGCGATCGTTTCTTTGTCCGTGCCTGTCGTTTGGGCGCGTTCTAGGGCTCTTGGTGAAGGTAACGTATCATGTATTTGTGAAAGCTTCCTAGTTTGGATGAAATGCTCATGATTAAATTTCATATCCTGTAGAGCGTATGTCTGGTTTCTCGGGCTTTGGTGGTCGTCTCGGCCACGGTGCTTTGGTGTGTCTGGCGGTCGCCGCCTTCGTCAGGCGATGGGGTGCGGCCCGGACATCTCAGTGGATGGTTTCTTGAGGTAAAGGCGGTTGGGGTTGGCATTGGCGCCGACACTGGCTGCAGCCACCGGGGGTGAAGGGGTTGGGGGGGGCACATGGGGACAACTCCAGTTGAGCCGGTGGTGGGGAGGTGAGCAACGCTCTGGTTGTGTAGGCAGCAGGAATCCACCATCGAGGCACATGTACAGCGGCGGTTCTTGACAGCAAATGACAACCCAAGGTGTCATGCTTGTATGATTACGGTACGTACTATGCTTTCTTTTATACCTACGGCCATTCTGATAAGAAGAGGCTTGCTAACTGATATATACTTTTTCCTTTCCTTCTTTCCTTCTTCCCTTCTTCGTATCGCATTCAACACGGATGTGGTGTGAAGAAGGCGAAGAGGAGCCAAATATTAAGAATTTATTCCTTTCCCAAGGTTGTCATCCCAGTCAGTTCCAGCTCATGTGGATGGTGTTCCTGCGTAAGCCCTGGCAACCAGGGCAATGTTGCTCACCCAATCCCTGCCACCGAAGGCTCAACCGGAGTTGTCCTCGCCCTTTCCATACCCTGGATCCTCCACCGGTTGTAGTCAGTGTCACAGCCATGTTAGTCCAGCCTCAGCCCTCACCTTTGCCTCCGGATTCCGTGAAGCTGGGGTGTCCGGGTTGGGGTGTTCGGCCAGCGGTGTGGGTGGTACGCCGCGATGGAGAGCGTCGGCTTTCCAGGCTAGCCGAGTAAAAATTCGGGGTGTTGTGCGAATCCCGTCTTTGGCTTGATCACGTCGTCTCTTAAGGTCTTGGTGGATGATTCATGATGGTTATGCTGCTACAGGTGGCGTCATATTTCCAGGCTAGCCGAGTAAAAAACTCCGGGACTTGCGAGAATCCCGTCTTTGGCTTGATCAGTCTCCTTGACAACAGACTATCACGGTTCACCTACATTATCCAATATTCGTATACCGGTTTCTCATTATCTGATCCGTTCGTCGGTGGAAACTAATGGCGACGACAAACGGGCCCTCTTCCAAATTGGCCTACAAACAAGAACACGCGATACTCAATGAAACATGGATTGAAAATTCCAGGTAAAGCAGCAAATTTATGGTCTGTTGGCGGCGCTGTGGCGGCAAACTGATGAGGATATCTGTATTACTCAAACAGATCACGGGGATTACAGCATATGCATACAACACAGTACATAGACGAAGCAGCTGCAAGGCCTAGCGAGCAGGTTACTTTGGCATGACTCATTCGAGGTGAACATTATATCGGTGGCAAACACAGGCGACATGACCTTTTCGCGGATTATTTATATGCGGCATAATCTCAAGCTGTTCAAGGACTCAAGCTATGGACAGATAGCAACGGGCGGATGGACCGCGTCACTGTCATATTCGGCTTTTACTGTGTTAGCAAGGCGGCAGAAAACATGTGGCAAATTCAAATCAAGGATACAATCAATCTTATTTATCCCTGCATTGTGGCGAAAACAAAAAGCAAGAGCGACGGGCGGACAGCGACAAAAGTGAAGGCGGCGCTTACGATTGTTCAATACTATCAAACGCATCGAGCCTAGCCAAAAGACTAGGACTTGTGCGAGACAACCTTAACCCAACAAATAAGCAATGTCAGCAATGTCAATTTCCGATATGATGGCAACAAAGCTGGGGCACACCACAACTATTGGAGCATATCAGCATCAAATCAATGAGATGGCAAAAAAAACCGGATCTACTGTCTGCTCATGGCAACAAAGCAACAGGGGCTTGCCGCAACAACAACGCTCGATCAACAAAGGTGGTAACTTCAAATGGTGGCAATAGAGTACAAAAGGGCACATCATGGACGTTTGGCGACAGCACACATGACGGTTTGTCCGACGAATCAACACCATTCAACAAGACGACTACTTCTACGTATCGCTGCTTCTGGGGACAAAAAAAAACCAAAGAATCAAGGGAACAGTTTTCAATCAACGAAGGGAGCTGATTTATTATCTCCATATACGACTTGAACGTGATAATAATCAAACACAAGCGCAAGAGCGGCAAGAAACTATGACGACATACAGCTCATTTGACAACATTTGCAGCGGTCATGATACGGGGCAGCACCATTCGACTGGTTGAGTACATGAAATACGCAAATCGCCACTACGGTAACTCCGTCCTATCCGTTATTACGTTGCGGTGACAAGAAACTAAGCGACAATTTCAGCCCACAATCAATCATCAACTATTTTATTGTGATGGCAAAAAAAAACAAGTGGCAACAAGATGCAATGGGCAACAAATTTCAGATCGCACACATGGACGGATCGGCCCGCAGCAACTACGAGCGACAACAGGGCGCGATTGACACAAAAATGCGGGCTTGGCAACAACATAACAAGGGGCAGCAAAAACAAACCTTGACGACGTCTCGTAGATACTACAATTCCAATTTCGCATACAATCATTTGTCCGGGGCATATTCACCTTCACGCGTAGGCATAAGGCGAAATCATGGAGCGATGGCCTCTTCAGTGATTAAAGATGCGAGAGCAATGAACTATTGAAAGAGGCAGTTCCGAAAATGCAGCAAGCACACCTGGCTATTCGATTGGACAATGTTAAATTAGCAAGGCGACGGTAGCCATATCAATCTCTTCTTCTTTTTGGGACGGCAAAGGTGGCGCGACAACTTTCAACTCAAAATGGAGCGTCATTCCAATGGCGGCAAGAACCATCAAGGACGACGAGTTCAACTGCTCAAACGAATCTGCAACGAATGCTCTTGGTGCTGAGGCAATTATCATGGCGGAAGATTAGCTTGCACTAGCCGCAATAAGTTATTGATGAGAGTCCTTACAGGTAAATACGTGATATCAAGCTAAAATATGAAAATTATGAAGGAATCAACAACACTTGGATCATGCGTACTTAACAAATTCTCTCTTAGTTAGGACGGTTGCACACGTTACTATGCGACGGTACCTTGAATATAGGCACATGGCGAGATACGATACTTGCTACTCGGCGGTAACAAGAAAAACTTTTCCCCAGAGCTGTAGACAGTGGCTATCCACATCGAAATTGCAGTGGAATCGAGATAACGCCAAGCGTAGCAAACAGATCGTAGTATCTGTATTATGGTAAGAAGCAGTCTAAAGAATTGTAATTGCTACATTCAAATCATAACTAAGTAAAATTTCACTTAATTACAGTGTAGTAAACTATCTACGAAAACTTTCTTACAACGAAGCCCTGCTTCCCGGAAGTCCCGTACAAGTCTCCTCCGACAAATGATTGGTAAGTTAATGTCTAGGTAATGATAGCTCCCACAAACATGACAGAAAAAAAAAAGAGAAGAAAAAAAATACAAGCAACAAATGGCACAAGATCGGAAATTGAGGCGGAATCCATGCAACGAACCATACCATTGCCAAAACAAAGAAACACTATCTATGGTGCGAGACGCTTCAGTACTACATCAAAAGCCTACAGTAGCAGTGCTTTGAAGGAAGTTTACGACGAACATTATAAATCGGCATCTACACTACAGCAACACAACCCATCTTACAAAAATGACGCAATTGCGCAAGTAATACAAGACGAACATCCAATCACGAATTCAAAAAAGCGTTGCATTCAAAAGTAAAAAAAACAATACTCGATATCCAACTGAACACCAGGCTCAATGTAATCATCAAAGAAGTCAACGGTAAGTAGAAGCAAAGACGATGCCGTGTTCAATCTTAACGACGAGATCATCTATAGCCAATATTAAAACACATCTATATATCTAGTCTAAACGAAAGTGAATCAAATAACGAACTCACAATAATCAAGAATCATTATTAAAACAAATCTAATCGGGATCGAAGGCAGTATCATCTCAAGAACGAGCGGTGCATGGATCCTACCATAATGCACCGACTCAGTGATCCAAAGCAACATAAACATGTCACGCCTCACGAAATGAAGATATGGAAGAGCACCGAAACTGAAAGATTTAAAAAGTTTAAAAAAAAGAAAAAAAAGAACAAGGGGCTATCATTACCGCAGATAAGAACTGACTAACATTTGTAGGACTGGAGATGAGTACATACTATTTCGTAGCAGTGGTCATTTATTTCTACTAGTGTATAGAAACATTTATAATCCGTATTACTTTGTACAATAAATTATATGTTTTCAATTAAATCGCACATCAAAATTAAAAGTGACATGCAAACAAGAGCATCTGCTACGTAGAGAGGCTCACTAATAGATTACATCAATGGGCGCGCCGAATTCCCATCATACCAGATCAAGATATACATACGTACTTGCGGAAAAGGTATTAGTGTAACGTGGTTATCATAACCTTCAAACTACGCAATAAGTCACATGCTCCATCAAATGGATAGAGGGATTCAACCAAGACCACTGAGATAATTAAGGGCAGGAGAGACGGTAAAAAAGATAAAGTAAGGACGTTTGATGAGATTACATACATTTTAATACATAAGGTGTGCCTAAATGATATTATAACAGCATAGTCCTGCGATATACATAGTATATTTACATTGTGTGGAGTTTTATTCTGTCAGTCTCGCATTTGCGATGCAACTAACGGTCGTTATGTGTATAGCTCTCATTAGGTAGTAGTATCATTACCAGCAACTCTAAGTTAAATAATATGTGTGCCGTAGCTTCTCCTAGAAGCTGGATTTCAGTACGGATATCATAGCCAACAGTTTTGTACTTTTTGACCGAGAAATCGTGTAGTAAAGAACAATAGAGTATAAATGGACTGAACAACTCTCGATACAAAAATTCTATTTATACTTGCCTTGCTGAGAGAGATCAGTATATGGCGATGCTATCAGCACATTTATAACAGCTAAGCCGACGTTTTGGTAAATAATTCATGCAATATATATATAAAATCTACATTTGTCAAGCCAACGTTGTTCGCGTTAGATAACTTACAGCGTGACCCGTATTCGATCTCACATTCCCTGAGCCAAAAAGGGCACACGATCTTTTTACGCGCCATCGCCGGTATAGTCTATATTGTATATATGCTGATGCCATTATTCAGAACGGACATAGTGGCGCCGTGCAACGCTGCATTTACTAAGCCGTAAACTCTAGAAGACCGATTTACACGTATTCGATGCTGTTTATTGGTGAAGCAAAAACTTATGTAGCATTATGTCTCAGAGGTATTCTACTTTTCATAGCTGTGAGTGCGCTGATGGATTGTATGATGTAGACTGGTGGTACTGCAGCAGCTGATATTTGGTTAGCTCTTGAAAGCACTTTTTTAACGCAGGGTCGTGATGACCATTTATTGAACATGAGGACTGTGTGTGCAATCATCGAGCCTTTCACGCGCCCTGGAATACCTAGCAAAAGGGATCTGTAAAAATTGTGGCACATAGCACCTGCTGCTGACACTTTTCACATGTGCGACTACTGACTCTGTTCAGTGGGTTTTTTTTCGTTCGCTCCCAGATTTGTGAAACGTTAACGACATTAGTGAAACCGACTCTAATTTTTGCTATTGTATACTTTTCTGAATAGTGTGTCTGTACAACATCATCCGATTAGCGACTGTTGGCCTCTATGTATTAAGTTTACAACGTTGAAATTACTGCGGTGATCAAAATTACATAAACACACGTTAATGTCCATTCTTCAGGGCGCATCCCAACTTTTGAAGCTTCTTTCGGATCCATACACAAACAAATGATTGCCCATCGCATAAAAAACGATTACCGAGCATTACTAAAAGCTGGTTATGCAGCTGTAAAACATGAACGGAAAAACAAGATACAGATCCGTCAACGCATTCGTAACCGCTTCGAGGATTCATCATCTTCGTTGGCTGTCAATGACCAGAAAAGTAATAATAAACTATTCAGGACGATCTCCACCATTTTCATACCGCAGTGGGCTACAAACGCGTCTCCATACTAAGTTGGGATGTGTCTTTTTTCGTATAGTACAAAACACAATTGAATTTTTAAAGACGGCGGCAAAACGACGAGGATTAGAGCATGATATTGTGCGCAATATATGCAATCTGGATCGATATCGCGCCGAATACGACATCAGGTCTGTGAAGACAACTGTTTTATAGCATTTATCAAATCAATTGATTTTAGGTTTTTTGTATATGTAGGCCACCGATGTATAGTAAAAAGTTTTCAAAGGAGGTTCGGCAACTTCATCAAAGCAGTTACGAAGAATTGGATTTGTTGATAAAGATGCTAAATGACGACCTACAGATCTGTCTATGAGAAGGTACTGCTATAAATCCTCTACGATTGGCTAATCAATCACACCGGGACAATATAGCAATAGATACACACACACACACCCTTCGGGTCTTCCTTCTCTCCATGATAATATACCCAACCACCACATACAGATGTTCACACCCTCAAGTGTACTACAAAAGAAGAAAGAAAAATTGGGGTATTGTCTGATGTGCTCGCAATTATAAGAAAAAAGAAAAAGTGTATTTTAGATATGCTTGTGGGTTGTCGTCGTACAAGAAAGAGAGAAAAAGACAAAGGGGAAAAAGAGACATTTTATTAGCAAAGGGATGAGAGAGAGGGAAGAAAAATTTATATACAGCCCTCTTCTTGACTTTTTGTTAGCTTTTCATCTCTCTTTTCTCGTGTGTGTGTGTTATCAGGTTAATTCATTCATCGTATTCGTCGTCATCGTCTTCTGGCTCATCGTCCTCCTCCGGTTCCTCCTCTTCATCGTAATCTGTTGTCGCTGCTGCATGCTGTTTTCGCTGTTGTTGGGCTTTGTGGGTCTTAAAGTTTTTGGCTGTAGGCATCGTACTTGAGCTCATGGTAGAATGAGTTGCAGCATGAATAGGTACGTTGGTATTATGACTGTTGTTCGTTTTATACACTCCGGGCATCTGTGCGGCGACGGTAGTGGAGGTAGCTGACCGTAAGGACAGAGTTTGGCAAGTTTGGCATCGAAAATTTTCTATTATCATAAAGGTTAAACGCCGTGTTCATGTGTAACGCAGTTCCTATTTCTTAAACATCTCTTCCTGCCACAAACAAGTGCAACCATTTGTTTTTACCTGCATTTCGTCTGCATTCTCGTATACGATCGAACCTTCCTCGTTGCACGTCCTTGCATTGTCAAATATCAGGTGGAAATCATTCCGGTAATACGGAAAATGGATTCGCTTTTTGATCATTTTCATTGCGATAGGGCGCTTGGTCATGGTATAGTAGATAGGATAGTCGCGCTTGCTGACAAGATCCATAAACAGCGCGCATCGTTTACGGTAGGTCCTAAAATGATGTCATCCTAGTTTTAAAATGTGTCCCTACATCCTTCACATTTCCCCATGAAAAATCCATATTACTCTTCATCCTCCTCGGTCGATTCCTCGACTGCCTTGTAACATGCGTCAAATATCCGAGTAAGTTGTTGTCTGAGTGGTGGTGACAAAGGATCAGAAGCAGATTTGTCGTCCCTCTTTTGCCGACTTTTCTTCTTGCTACTGCTGCTGCTGCTGTAATCTGGTTCTCCCTTCTTTGGCCGACCCCGTTTCTTGTTTAATGACGCTGAATCTTCCAAAGGAGGCAACCCAGCCGCTTTACGTCGCCGTGCTTCCTGTCTAGCAATCAGGTCATCCAAGTCGATATTTTCATCCTCGAGCGCATTCACCCATTGTTCTTCGGTCAATCCATCATCATAACGAACTGTGTCTCGGACACGTTGACCACGACCATATTCAAGTAATGGCGAGACGTCTTCAGCGAAAGCATCTTCATAACAATACACTTCTGGTAATTCGTCTTCCTGTATTGAACGATCGTGTTTGCGACCACGACGACCTTTTTGTCGATAATAGTCGGCTTCAGCTCGTTCGCGCTCCGCATCGATTCGATTAAAGATGACTAGTTCTTAGTCAGACAGCTTCAGCTTTTCGTTCAGTTCTTCGTCGTCATGTTCGTCACTTTTATCTTCCAGTAAAGTCCGCTATACTATATATGAGATGCATGATCAGTTAAGCATCACAGACCACTGTATCTTCACAATAGCTGTATATTTACATACCAAGATGGAGGACGAGAATGACGATCCGCATCTTACTGAGCAAGCTCCTACTACTTTGCTTCCCCTTATCCTGCTCTAGTCGACGCCCTTCCAGGGATGGCTAAGGACTTTTTTCGTAACTCTATGTACGAGGATACTCGCCGCAGCTTTCTACATGAGTGTCCACGCAACACCGATCGTCAGTATGCTCCACCACCACTTAACGACATTGAAATTAGTGCTTAGGGTCAATACATTGACCGTCAACATCGCGATATTTAATATCGCTTATCAGGACTCACTCGACTAATAGATCTTATCATTCACGACACAATATGCAACAATCAGGTGAACGTCGCCGCCGCGTTGCGTTTCGCCAATACTATCTACAACCTGGTTTCAGATGTGGCATCCTTTATCAGTCATACTCGCAGTGATAATATTTGTCGTGACACTGGCCTCAAAAACGCCCCAAACAACGTCCCTGAGTCGCTTCCCAAGGCTCCACTTTGGATGCTGGCAAGGTCTTGGAATATACACAACTGTCCCAAGCTCTTCGTAAGGCTGCCTCTAATAGACCACGCAGAAGGACAGTGGAAAATCTGGAGGCCGGCAACAACAACAACAAAAGTCATATGACCCTCGTAATACCAAACAATCAGATGATTCGTCAGGTAACAAACGACGTGTTTACTCTGGCTACTCTGGCAACCAATCAGGTTTTCAGAAAGGCAAATAGAAACCAGGCAAGAAACGCGACTTCGGCAGCAACAACAACAACGCTAAAAGCCAGTAGGTGGGCGCTTGAGCTCTTTTGTCTCTGCTTCATCACACCACCTTAGTTGTACTGCCAGCTCGTCTTTACACTCGTCAAATGATTGCTTGGCGCAACTGGATGCTAGCCAGCGGGCTCACATGGAGCTTGCAGATTCAGCTCTTAGCATTAGTACGGCAGGAGCTTCAATGGTGGATCGACCACCTCCAGCATTAGAACAGGCAGAGTTTCATCCCTTCTACCCCTCAGATGGAAGTCTTCACAGATTCCTCAGATCATGGATGGGGCCTGGTATTCAACAACCAGTTGATCGCCGGGCTTTGGAGCCAGCAACAGCATCACATCAACTTCAAAGAACTTTTGACAATTCAACAAGCAATACAGCATCTGACACTTCGGTTCAAAGTTCTACGTCTTTATTGCGACAACACAACTACGATCGCATATGTCAATCATTTCGGTGGGACTCAATCCCATGCTCTGATGACACTAGCGATGAACATCTAGCAAGAATGTTTTAAGACCAACACTGGCATACAGTTGATGTATGTACCGAGTCAGTTCGACCCTGCTGATCCGCCATCCCGCCAACTTCAACGCCAACTCGAATGGAGCATCATTCCACAGTACTTCCTCAAACCGGACCATGCTTGGGGATTCCATCATCTGGATACTGGATTGCTTTGCATTCCACCAGAATGCGAAGCTCGCAACCTATATGAGCTGGAAACCAGATCGACAAGCGATTGCAACAGACGCTTTACTACACCCGTAGTCACCATATCGCCGAGTTCATAGCTGTCCTCCATGGAATCCTCCTTCAGCGCAGCATCCAGAAGATTCAACAAGAATGGGTGACAGCAATGGTAATCACCCCACAGTGGCCGAGCGCGATTCGGTACCTAACATTGCAACAGCTCAGCGTTTCGAAGCCGAAGCTCATACCACGCCATGCAATTTAAGCAGCGCCTGGCGACGATCAATCTCTTCTACAGAAGAACCGCCACTGGTCTATGATTGCTTAGAACATAAACGACGCCGCTTAGCAGCTTTGGGTCTCAGCACAGATGCAACAACGATCATACTCATTCAGTATATACTCAACAATGCAATTCCAACTACTAACCTATCCAACGCCGTTTTATCAACTGGACTAAACAGCAGCACGATATTGACCCATTTGTAGCCAACCCAACACAGCTGGTCAAACTTCCTGGCCCATGGTCGGGTTCATCTCAGTTGGGCTACCAGTACATGTGCTATGGGAGTGGTCCAGATATTTTAACTTTTTAAGAATTCTTAAAAAAGTTAAATATTCTTAGAGCCTTTAATTATTTCTATTTTATTTTATCTAGCCGAGGAATACTTGGACGAAGGCTACTAGTGACATATTTTCTGATGAAATACAAAAAATAGTACACGCTTGACAGATATATAAATAGTTAATAATTTTATTGTTTACAATAAAAATTATAACTATGAATATATCTTCCTAATTACCGATCTGCCATTCTCGACTTAGATGACAACACATCATCTTTTGCAAACGATTCACACTACAAAGAATTTTTTATCGCTCTCAACAATCAAACTATTCGCTCCTTCGATCGACCACGTTATGATATATAACTAGTCATCCACAACATTGTCGTACTTGGCAACAATATCACTATACACACAATCGACCTCACCTACAAGCTCTGCTTTCTGATGGCCATTGTGGGGTTCCTTCGCCCATCTGACATCGAATGCATTGACGACAGTCGCACTGAGGTATCAGACCATCACTTATGCCTAGTGATTGCTTGTCCCAAGGAAAAGCGCTATCAACAACGCATTGAAAAAGTCATTCATATCCACTGATACCAGACTTCCATGCTTTGTCTGGCTCAGATGTACGTTGATTACCACTCACGCTTTTGTCAAACATCTTGTCACCATTCATACCCTTTCGACAATGGCCTACGGCAATACATTTACAAGCTTATTCAGGTAGTACACAACAACAACACAGCTATTGGTGCTGAGTGCATCAGCAATCACATTAAGCACTTTTTAGATATGATCCCCAGACCTGAGGGTACTACTCGTCCTAAGGCCTAAGCTCTCGGTTCCATAGCAGCAGTACAAGCAGGGGCGTCTCTAGATGACGTCTTGACCTATAGTTCCTAGCTCTCCTCCTCTGTTTTTGATACTTTCCACTACATCTCTCGGGAGATGGCTACTGATATCACTCAAATGGCTGTTCCGATGGTTGCTTCTCTGGATTCACAATCTGAGTCAGTACCAGCTGAAGAATAATAGACTTCACAGCTGAGGTTAAGGATCAATAGCTTACTATTATTATTCGAGGCATAAGCACTGATTCAGACTGTCCCTCCCTCCACTCCCTTTGTTTGTTTGCTCCCCATTCACTTGTAAATGATACAGCTATAACATATATATGTTTTTATGTATTTTATTTCTTTGGACTTTCAACCAATAAAGGAAAAAATGGTAACACAATCTTCATCAGTACCAGCTGAAAAATAATTATTTAAAGACTAAGGTAGATATATATATATATATATATATATATATATATCTTTTAATATAGAATTTAATGATGTGAAAAACAGAATGATTGATATTAAGGTCGATAAGTCGAATATGATGAATGATATTGATACTTAGGGATTTGAAATTATATGAACATTGAGGTAGAGGAATATTCATAACAAGTATTTCCTCTTAGGGAATTAATCCTTATATATAGAATAAACCTTTATATGATTGACTTTATAGAAATTATAGTTTTATATCATTTAACTAATGAATTTTTTAATAAATTACAACTCTTAATGATCAATAGATGTATCTTTTATTAATTGAAAATCCCCTGTAGTGGTAACAAGGATTCTATATTACAGTAGTAACTTGCTCCCTCCTCAACATACACAAGATTTATCTTATGTATACGACCCTTTTATGGTTCTTTTCTCTAGAGAAAAGGTTCTCAAATTATAATAAAAAACATTTATGTTTTTGTCCTCGTACAATTCTAAATGTATATCTTATTATCGTTAAATCATTATATATAATACATTTAAATAATCTATCATTAATGATTATTCTTCTTAGTAGTGAGGATATCAAGGAGAACGTTTATTAAATTTATATATATGAACGTTTGAATCAGGGACTAGTGGTATATGGGGTGTGCTCCATATATTTCTAGGAATTTTATGAAAATGTGCAAAGGTATAAATAAAGAGAATTTATAGAGCAAAGGGGGTTTGTTTGGATAAAATGATAAAAAAAACTAGAATCAAATATGTCCTACTTATGCTTAATGTTTCAACAGACTGACATGTGAGGTGTTTGGAAAAGGACAAAAGGTAGTATATAAAAAGGGGAAAAGGTAGAAAGGGTTTAGAAGAATAGGGTTGATATGCAGTAAAATACAAATAGACAGAATTCAGAAAATAAAAAGGAATCAAAGGTATGATGAACGCGAAATACAAATACACAGATACACAATTACAATAACGGCAAGTTCCACTTCTGGTGTCAATTGTCAATCCACGAATATATGTCTGAAAACACTTGATCTTTATTTTATCACAGGGTTAATCCCCTTTTATACACCTTGTCAACTAGGCGCACTCGGCCGAGAACGACGCCAGATACAGAGGACGATGATCTCTATTGGGTAGTTTGGACGGAGTAGAAGACGGAAAAATAGGGAAATGGATATACCAATGTCTATACGACAGATGGAAACATAAGAGAGGGAGTACGACGGAAAATAAGAGGGGACATGAAATTACAGGGTCATGGTAACAAGGTAGGGTAACGAGGGAAAAGGACAATAGAGAATAATATAAACTGCGTAGGGTAGGTAGCATGAGTATATAAGAGAGTATAATACGGAAAATAAGGATGGATAGAAATATAAGGGACGGGTCCCATTAAAAGAAGCATAAAGGAGAAATAATATTCGGTGCCTATGGCCAGCACAATTTAGAGTTGAAGGAACGTAAAATGATGCGAGAGGAAATGACAGAATTATTTACAGAAAAAGAGCTAAGGGAAATAAGAAAAATAAAGGGAACTAACAGAAAGGGAAAAAGAAATATGATAATCCCCGGATGGGGGGTACGAGAAGAATTGTGGGGAGTTGGGGGGGAACCTGTGGATCGGATGACCATCGCCGGCAGAAAGATCCGCCACTGAAATCGCCCATGATTGGCCGAAGCCACAATTCGTTCGTCGTCGTCGTCGTCGGAAATGAATAAGGCGGAGAAGGCCCACACATTTTGTGTCACAGATATCTAGCCTTCTTGGCTCAGTTGGCAGAGCGTCTGCCTAGTAAGCAGAAGGTCAACAGTTCGATTCTGTTAGAAGGCATGTAATATATCAAATTCTACTTTTTGCTATCTGTCGAAGTCTTTTTGGCAGATCAATTGTTGAGTCGCTTTTTGGCGGGTGG